TAATCATAAATCTGTTTAGATGAAGATAATCACTATAGCTAGTTAAAGAGGTGAAAGTGGGCTGCTTTGATAGTGGGACTGTTGGAGAGAGGTGGGGACTTTTTTTTTCTTTAACTGTGCACATGCTGCCTTGTTTTATTTACACAACAGTGAAATATTTTTAAGAGTAAATTGGCAAAACTTGGTTTCAACTCTAAAATATCCAGTCAGAGCTTCTGATAATGAAGTTCTAACCTGAGATTTATCACTAATTTATACTGAGCCTTTGAGAAAGGGCTGTCTCTCTCTGTCTCTCTCTCTCTGTCTCTCTCTCTCTGTCTCTGTCTCTCTCTCCCCCCCGTCCCCTCCCCCAACACGTTTTAGTTTTATTATCTTTAAGAAGTGACATACATTGCAACAGTGCTTGCTGCATATGCCATATCTCTGTCTCCATGGCTTATATATTTACACATATGGATCACCTTTTTCTTTTACAGAGGACCAGGATAGATAGTGTATCTCTTTAATCTACCTTTAGAGAATCTTAATACTTTAAATGGAGCAGAATAGCATACTAATAGCACTGACTCTAGAAAACATTTAATGAAAGGTTCTCATCTTTCCTTTGTGCATTAAGTCAGTGATTAATCAGCTCTCTAATTGTTCCAAGAGGACTCCTTTGTCTTGAGACTTACTGGATGCTGCTGCTGCTGGAGGACATACCCTATCTTGGCTGTGGGCAGAGCTCACACACCCTATCTTGGCTGTGGGCAGAGCTCACTTTTATATCCCAGCTTCTAGTACATTGCCTTTTACATACTAAATTGTATATTGCTTAATTGAAGAAAATTGAAGAAAACAGTTTTCAAGAAGTTGAGTGACTTTATCAAGCTCATTAACTAGAAATCAGGCTCTTGGCCTCTGTATTCCGTGCTCCTGTGTGAGTTTATTGGTATATTGTCCACTAAACACATCATTATTGTCTGAGATCTAAGGCCATATTTTAATTTTTTTAGAAATATTTTATTTTTTCCTTTATTCTTATATTTTAATTTAAACTATTTCCAGATGGCTTTTAGTAGATATGGTTAGCTGAGTCAGACCAGGCACTCATTTATGTGCTCTTTTTTACCTTCCAAAATGCCAGTTAAATAATTTTAACATATATATTGGCATTACCTTACTGTTTGAATAGAATATAATTTATGTTTGGATCTAAAAGAGTACTCTCACAGACCTTTAGCTATTTTAGCAATCATAGCTTGGTCTAGTCTCGTGTTTTCCTCAGCCGTGAGTATAAGATGCACTCAGTTTACATCTTCTACGTTGGTTGAGGCTTGTCCTGTTACCAGGAGCATTGCAGCTTTAGGGAAATACAACACCAAATCAGTGTGCTAGAGAGCAGTCCCCAACCTTTTTGGCACCAGGGACCAGTGCTCCTATGAGAATCCAATGCCTGAGGTGGAGCTGAGGTGGTGATGCTAGCGCTGGGGAGCGGCTGCTAATACACATGAAGTTTTGCCTGCTTGCCTGCCACTCACCATGGCCCTGGTACCTAACAGGCCATGGACTGAGCACCTATCCACTGCCCGGGGGTTGGGGACTTCTGTGCTAAAGGACCATTTACTCTTAATTACAAAGGTATCCAGCTATTCTGTCATGTTTCCTATACTTCATTTTAATAATGGTTTTACCTGGTTTGTGCAGCTTCCTGAATTCCTAGAGCTGAAATGATTAATTTCCATCCCACATGTAACAATTGAAGTAATCTACTAAAGGATTGAATTTCTCTTCTCTTCAAAATTCAGCCGTATCTTTGTGACTTAAAGCAGATAAAGAATCACAGATTGATGATTTCTTGGAAAAAGAGCTTCCACTTACACATGAAGTATATTTTTCTTAGCCTCCTATTTTTTTGTTCCATTTTTTAAAAATTAAATATAGTAAAATTCACTCTTTTTTTTTGGTGAACAGTTCAGAGTTTTGATAGAAATATAGATTTATTTAAAAACCATCACAGTCAAGGTACAGAAAAGTCCATCACTCCGAAAAAATTTCCCTGTGTTTCCTCTAAAGAGTCATTTCTACCCTCTGACTTTAACCCCTGGCAACCCCTGATCTTTTTATCTGTATACTTTTGCCTTTTCCGAAATGTCATTGTTTGAGTCTAGCTTCTTTCACTTGGCATAATGCAGTTTAGGTTTATCCATTTTGTTGTGTGTATCAATACTTCATTCCTTTTTCTCACGGGCTAATAAACTATTGAGTAAAACACCATTGTATGGATGTAATAGAGTTTGTCGATTTAACATTTGGGTCGTTTTCATTTTTCAGTGATTTTGAATAAAGCCACTGTAAAGATTCACTTAAAGGTTTTTGTGTGAACACAGTTTTCATTTCTCTTGGTTTAAGTAATTGGTAATAGGATTTCTGGGTCATGTTTGTAAGGAACTGCCAAACTGGTTTCCAAAATGGCCATACCATGTTCGGTTCCCACTATGTTTTGTTTTAATGGAAAGTATGTAAATGCGACCCACTTAAATATCTGGCTTATTTATAGGAAAATAAATAATCATGCAACAAACTGATAATTTTATTTGTGTTCTTGTGTTGCTTATAGACTTGAAAATCAGGCAGAGAATTTGAAATTTGATGTGGTATGCAAAAGAGAAGATCTTTTTTTAAGATGTATCCCTTTTAATTAATGAAGAACAGCTTTATAGATCACAGCGAGAAGTTTTATAGATTTTGACACTTATGTGCTCTTTCTCATCTTTTTCTTGCCTCTGCACAAGTCCTTCAGGTGTTACCTTGTTGCTAGGGTGAAAAAGGAAACAGTACCTTACCAGTTTGGAGGGGACAATGAAAAAGTAATAGAAATGTTTGCCAAGCACATATTTATGGAATGCTGGCTAAATGCTGGGTACTCTCCTGGTTGTTAGGGATCCAATAGAGAGCCAACAGAACAGACAGCAAAAATTCCATCCTTCAGGAACTTTAGCAGTAAGTGCTAAGGAAAACCACATAGCACAAGAGGAGGAAATAAAATTTTGTTGGAGTGAGGGCCATTAAGTTATATGCTTCTAATTTTATTGGGCTGAAGCCAAGGCTTGTTTTTTCTCGTTTGTTTGTTTGTTTTTTTAAACAGTCTTTTTTGGGGAGTGGAGGATAATTTTAGATTTGGCAGAGTTGCAAAGATAGTACAGAATTCCAGTATATCCCATTCCAAGTTTCCTCCAATGTAACATCTTTAAATACCATTGTACATTTGTCAAAACTAAGAACATTGGTGTATACTGTTAACTGAACTCCAGATTTTATTTGAATATTGCTAGTTTTTCCACTAATGACTTTTTTCTGTTCCAGGATCCAATTCAGGATTCCACATTGCATTTAGTCATTATATTTCCGTGATCTCCTTCAGTCTGCGACAGTTTGTCAGTCTTTCCTTGTGTATGTGTGTCTGTGTTTTCAAATGATCTCGAGACTTGTAAAGAGTACTGGTTAGGTATTTTGTAGAATGTCTCTCAGTTTGGGTTTGTCTGATGAATTTCTCATGATGAGACTGGCATTATGGGTTTTGGGGAAGTTACAACAGAAGTGAAGTATACTTCTCATCACAGCACATCGGGAGGCACATGCTATCAACATGATTTATCGCTGGTAATGTAACCTCATTCACTTGGTTAAGTGGTTGAGGTTACTGTTTGTCATTTTCTCCACTGTGATGTTTTTTCCCTTTCTGAATTCTATTCTTTGGAAGCCAGTCACTAAGACCAGTCACACTCAAGTGGGGAAGAGGGAGCAGGGTAAACTTTCCTTCTTGGAAGGGGAAACATCTGCATATGTTGTTTTGAATTTTTTTGTAAGGAAGATTTGTCTCTTATTTATACAAATTTATTTGTATTAGTATGGACTTTTGTATATTTATTTTATGCTTTGGGTTATAATCCAGTACTCCATTGTTTATTTTGTTGCTCAGATTGTTCAACTTTGTCCCTGGGGAGCTTTTTTAAGTTGCCTCCTCATTTCCCTTTGACATACCTCCAGCCTTTTGTTTTGAGCACTTACTTAGTTGATTTCTGGTACTACAGGCTGCTACAGGGTCATCTTGTATATTCTTTGTCCTAGCCTTAAAGTCAACCCCCTCTTCAAGAAGCCCTAGTTCCATTTTTATTGGAGAACAGTATTTAGAAACCAAGATTTGGGGTTTACTCATTGTTATTGGGGTACCAGCCAGTTTTTGTTTTATTTTGTTAAAATACTTTTAAAGTCTAAATTTGAAAATCATGCCAAAGAGGTAGCAGTCCAGAAATAAAACATACTCTAACTTCGGAAATGACAAAGTAAAAAATTCCTATAGCGATCCTAAGCCCAGCTTTTGGAAGCAGATGCATTCCAATAAAAGTGCATATTTTGTCATTGTATTTTATTTAAAGAATATGTACTTTTAAAAGTATTAAAATATGCATTTTAGTGTGTAATAAAGATAAGTTTGTTATTAAAGGTTTTTTTTTTTAAATTTTTTTATTTAACTTAATAGTAGCATCCTTATCGCTTTGGAAACAATTTATTTGTTTCTTTTCTTTTAATTGGGTAGAACCTTTAGACATTTGTTAATATGGATTATATGTGGAAATGGAATTCTATTGTTAGGTTTCTTCTAGGGAAATAGACATCAGTTATAATTCAGTTCACTTATTAAAGACTGTCTTTTCAAAAGCGAGATTTGGTTTATATGTGGGGTTTTAATTTATTTTAGACATTTTCTACTTTGTATATTTTTAGCCACAGGATTAAATAATGATTTCAACAACACAAATATGGTTTATTTGGTATTTATTTCTCTTTGGTCATCGTATTGGAGCAAGTTTTAAACATTGAATGAAACTAAATTAGTTAAAGTTAATTTTGAAAATACTTCAAAAACTTTTTAAAGTTCAAAGTGGATAAAGGTATAATTGCTTTAAAGAACAGGATAATTCATTGCTTTGTTTTTTTTTTTTTTTTTTCTTTTGCAGAAAATGAAGCTGGTCACTACATTTCCCCCTTTCATGATATTCCTCTGAAGGTGGACTCCGCAGAGGTATTGTTTTAACTTGTTTTAGGGATGAAAATAGATATTCCTAGTATGACCATAAAATACTTTTTGGAAGCATCTTGAAAGGAAGGAATTTGGTCAGAGTCCAGAAGGTCAGTGGAGTTGTTATCACAGGATTGTAAGCCTCCTTCGTGAATTAGAATTTGTATGAAAATAGGATTCTTTCAGGAGGACTTGGGGAGAAAGGAGTGTTAGGGCCATAAAGCTTAGAATTTGATAGGAAATAAAGATTTAAGATTAAGATTTTAAGGTGTTTACAACAGGCTTATTTTTTAATAATAATAAGAAGAACAATATCTTTAACATTTGTGGATTATTTTCTATTTGCTAGCCACTGTGTGAACATTTGCCATTTTATTTAATCCTTATGAGTTGCTGTTATTATCTCCAAGGAAACCAAAGCTGAGTCATTTTGTTGACTTGTCTAAGATCTCACAGCTGGTAAGGGCCAGAGCCAGGTGTGAGCCAGCATTTCTGATCACAAAGCTCAAGCTCTTTGACTACTCTATGAAGCAGATGCTAGAAAAATAAAGTTAGGAAATGGAAGTTTTTGAATAGCCATTCTCTTAGAACCTAGAATTACTTGACAGATGATGAAGGTGGCAAGGATTAAATCAGGTAGGAGTGGGGGATCTGCTGTTAAAGGTGGACCTGAGCGTGGCTCAAAATCACTGGAGTGTTCACGTAGCCCACAAAATGGCATAATTGGTAGCAGATATTATCGTCACTAAGTTGGAATTTTTTTCCTTAAAATCTGAGTAGTCCATTGGTTTATTCTATTACCAAATTTATTAAGGGGCACAGCTGTTGAGTAAATAACCAGGACTACGTTTCAGGTTGAGATTATGTGGGGCTGGTTAGTGAGGTTGTGTTTTCTAGATCAGTGTAGGGACAGAGGCCGGTAAAGAAGTGGGCAGCTGCTTCAGGTGCAAGAGTGGTTTGACCTTCTTGTTGTTACCTTAGAGGCTGAATGTAAGGCATCATACTGAGGTTATGGAACGCTGAAGTAGGATTTGTGCTGCCTTCCAGCCCTTCAGAGAACTGAACCGTCAGTAATAGTAGCAGTAGGGAGAATAATAGAGAAGGTTTACTAAGTGCTCGTAGTGCTTGGTAAAGCACTGTGCTCAGTGCTCAGTTTGCTTTATCTCAACACATCTAAGGCTGCTGTTGCCCTTATTTTGTTAACGAGGATAAGCGCCTCGTCCGTGGTCACAAATCTAGTCTATAGTGGAAGTAGGATTTGAACTTAGGTGCTCTAACTCCATAGTTTGTACTTTTAACTGCTCTCATGTAATCCTTCCAGCTCATAACTTCTAAGAAGTGTTCAGCTGAAGAACAAAGGGTCATGTAATCTGAATAGAAAAAGAAACCAAAGAGAGGCAGAAAGAACTTCATATTACTGTGTGTGTCTGTGAGAGTGAGAGAATGAGAGAGAATGAATATATGTATGTGTGTCCATGTATCCATGTAGTTTGTTTTGTTTTGGCCAGTCCGCTATTCACCCTGAATACCTCATGTCCCCCCTCACCCCTCTTTGCTTTTTGCAACAAGTGCATGCATTCATTTATTCATTTGCTCACTAATTTATTCATTTAGTAGATAATCATTGCATACTTATTATGAGCCAGATAGTATTCCAGGCACTAGGGTAGCATTGGTGCATAACGTAGATATAGTTCCCACTCAGTTGGAGCAGGTCAATCGGATAATGTTAAGTGCTATACAACTAGAACAGGGTTATGAAAGAAGGGGTGCTGCTCCATGTGGCGGTGTACCATGACAAAATCAGTGTACTTAATAACAAAAATGATAACATTATTGGGAAACATGTAGTAGGTAGGGGTAGATATACAGAACAAAGATGAGCAAAAATAGCCCCGTGGGCATAATATTCTGCCTCAGGAGGATGGGTTTTGGGGAATATGAAATTTAGGGTTAGGCAGAATTGAGGATAGGGCAAGGCAGAATGTAACAGGATATGCCAGGGAATCCCGGGCACATGGACATTGGTACCCGCAGTGGTGTAAATAGGCTTCCCTCGCTCTTGGTGAGGAAAATGATTAGACCTATTGCACGTTGTACTTTGTGATGTGTTTTAGGAACAGTAATTATGTTTCAGAGCCATCTTGGAATAATCATTTTTCGGTTTGTTTTGTTTCCTTCATTAGTCATTTTGGTGCGAAAAGTTATGTATGATGTGTGAACATTTGTGAATGGCCTGATTTTTCTCCCCAACCCACCACGTACGCTGTTTTAATTTAAAAGTGCTTGATGGAGGCACAGTAATCACACCTTGGTGGGACTCGCAGGCAGGAGGTGCAGCCACGTACTTTCATGGCTTGTTAGTCACGCTCCCTGGAGTTTCATTCCAATAATGAAATGACTGTTTTAAGCGCAGTCACTGGAAACCGCCAGTCTTTCCTTAAAGACTGAACAGAGCCTTTGCTTATTTTATAAAAACTAGGAAAATGTACTTGAAAGAGATTTAGCTTTTCTCATCATTTGTTTTATGAAATACTTTGATGCTTGTACGCTGGGGATGCAGATACTGAGAGAAAAATGAACTGGGCCTTTCGTAGGTTCTCTGTTGCATCAGGTCTCTGGCCAGCCTCTGCATCGGGGTGTTTATACATAGGCATATTTTCATTGCAGCTGTATTTTCATGAACTATTACAATCATAAATACCATCTTTTCTTTTATAGGAAAATGGCATTCCTACAAAGAGAGCACGAAATGATGAATATGAGGTATATCTAAAGGTTTTAATTTTTGTGAATCACTTATATTGTCTGTTACAGACGTTGATAGTTTGCATTTGGAAAGTGCTTCTGAGTTTTTCCCTCGCGAGACTTTTGTGTGCATTCTGATATTTTTATTCTTCTAGTTTTGCTTTAAGGCACCTAGGAATGATATTCTCATTTCACTGTTTTTTTTCTTGTGGTGAAATATGCATCGCAAAATTTACCATTTTATTTATTGCACACTAGATAAGTGTGCAGTTCCATGGCATTAAGCACTTTCAAATGTGCAACCATCATCATCATCATCATCATCATCATCATCATCATCCATCTTCAGAACTTTTTCATCTTCCCACACTGAAATTCTGTACGTATTAAACAATATCTCTCCATTCCTCTCTCCGCCTAGTCCCTGGTGACCACTATTCTACTTTCTGTGTATGAATCTGACCGTTCTGGGTACCTCCTTACCATTTTGTTTTTTAAGTGAAAAACCAGAGAGGATCAGGAAATGAACCCACATTTTAGTAGCAAGTTATCATGGTAGATGGTTAAAGTAAAGGTTCTTTATGAAAATTGGTCAGTTTATCATCTTTTAATTACAAGGGGAAAGATTGTTTTGAGAGGTTGTTTTAGAATCCAGGAACAAATCTTGGAGATAGAGGAGAAGAAAAAAACAATTATACCAACTGTATGCTAAAATAAATATGTTCCAGATATGTCGTGCAAATATGTGATTATCACAGCTTTAATAGTTCTTGACTTAGGACCAGAACATTTGATTGATGTCTGTCATCCCATCTCTTGCTGTCGATCGATGCCTTTTTATCTTGCTGATGCCAGGCAGCTTTCCCGCCACCTTCCTCAGCCTTCTTTCCCCTTCCCAACCTTATTTCCAGGTATTCTCTACTCCAGCTAAAACTTAGGACCCCAGCTTTGGCATTCACCTCCAAACACAGCTGTGGGGCTGTTTAATTCCTACGGCCTTTGCCTGCCATCCATCTTGTATTTTTCCAAACTGGTGTTTGTCACATGGCCCTTAGACCATCTATATTGGAACCACTTAGAACAGCAGTCCCCAACCTTTTTGCCACCAGGGACCGGTGCTCCTATGAGAATCTAATTAATGCCTGATAATCTGAGGTGGAGCTGAGGCAGTGATGCTAGCGCTGGGGAGCGGCTGCAAATACAGATGAAAGCTTGCTCCCTTGTCTCTAATCTCCTGCTATGCAGCCTGGTTCCTAACAGGCCATGGACCAGTAGCATTCCAGTTTGTGGCCCAGGGGTTGGGGGCCCCTGATTTAGAGCACTTGTTTAAATTTTAGATTCCTGGCCCCATTCCATATCTATCAAATCAAAGCCCCTGCTTGATGGAGCTGGTTAGTCTGCATGTTTAAACTAGTGTTCCAGGGCATCCTATACACAATGAAGCTGAGAACCACGCCCGAGATGTTGGTTAAATAGTCATTCAGTAGCCCAAGGCTTGATAGGTTCTTAGAGACTTCATGTATTAACCTGGAAACAGTTGTTTCAGTGGGAAAAATGTATTATTCAGAGTTCATACAGCCAACTTAAAATTTAATTTTTAGAACATAGTTTATATGTCAGGAACTGCCTGATTTGAGTTTATTTAATTTTTTAAAATTCTTTTCCATTTCTCCCATTCTCCAGCCCCTGACAACCACTTTTCTACTCTCTGTTTCTATGAATTTGCCTTAAAAAAAAAAAAGAGATTCCACATGTAAGGGATACGATGCAGTGTTTGCTTTCCTCTCTATGGCTTATTTCAGTGAGCATAATGCCCTGAAATTCCATTCATGTCGTTGCAAATGACAAGATTTCCTTTTTTCTCCTTGTTGAATAATATTCCATTGTGTATATCTACCACATCTACTTTATTCATTCATCCATTGCGGGGCACATAAGTTGTTCCCATATGTTGGCTATGGTGAACATGGGAGTGCAGATAGCTCTTCAATATCCTGCTTTTACTTCCTTTGGATATACAGCCAAAAGTGGAATCGCTGGATAACATGGTAGTTCTGTTTTTAATTTTTTGAGTAACCTCCATATACAGCTTTCCATGGCGGCTATACCGGTTTACATTCTCATCAACAGTGTGCACAGGGTTCCCTTTCACCCACATCCTTGCCCACACTTGTTATTTCTTGTCTTTTTGATGATAGCCATTCAAACAAGGACGAGGTGCTATCTTGTTGTGGTTTTGATTTGCGTTTCCCTGATGATGAGTGATGTTGAGCACCTTTTCATGTACCTATTAGCCATTTGTATGTCTTCCTTGGAAAACTGTCTATTCAGTTCCTCTGCCCATTTTTAAATCAAGATTATTTGAGATTTAGTTGCCATTGAGTTGCTTGAGTTCTTTATATATTTTGGATATTAACCCCTTATCAGATTTATATTTGCAAGAATCTTCTTCCATAGGTTGCCTTTTTATTTCGTTGATGGTTTTTCCTTTGCTGTGCTGAAGCTTTTCAGTTTGATATAGTCCCACTTGTTTATTTTTGCTTTTGTTGCCTTTGCTTTTAGTGTTAAATCCAAAGTTTATTTGATATTTTAAGTTAGAAAAAGGAAAAAAGGTGATTTCCTCCCATTTTCCTCCTAAAGTATATTACAATTTACTGACTGCTTTTTCATATCTTATTAGTTTTTCTTTTTAATCTGTGCAATAAAAACAGAAGGGAAAAATGGAGAGAGAGAAAAGAACTGAAGGAGAAGGTAAATGTCCTGGGCCCATGCCCAGCATTCTGAATTGAAATAAGTCCCCTTGTATCTTTGTGATTTTTCTAGTAAATTTCAGCAGACCATTATTGGTGTCTAATTCACACTGATGTTGGGATAAGCACACTAACATGGGCTTTAGAAAATTACAGGTCATACACGTTTGAGCTGGAAGAAGGGAAGAACAAACGATGAGGGACAGTGTGGGTTGCAGGCTAAAAATTCAAAACTCATTGATTGTTCTTTTGGCCTAATTCAGGTCTCTGTGAGTGGTTTTGGTAGGTGTCATTGTGTAAAACAATTGTCACTAGCTTGGTCTTCTCTGTCACCTCTGAGTATGCATCTGCATGCATGTGATCTCTCAGAGCCAGGCTTTCAGGGATGAATAAATTATGTGAACATCTGCCATTTACTTAGGTTTTTCTTTTTAACAGCTATTTCAGACATAGTTAAACAGGTGCTGGGATACCTCATGAAAGAGCATATAAAATGAAATATAACAGCAGGACTGTGTGTATAAGGTTGCTAGGATAGGTATGAGACATACTTCTAAGGAACAATTGTTGAGAATTCATTCTTAGCTTTGTTCTTTACCTCATTATGAATATGTGGTTTTGTTATTGGTAAACTTTAGTCTTATCTAGAAAAAACTTAAAAACTATCAGTACTTTTGTGGCTCAATTTTTATCTATATTTAATTGCATAAATGGCATTTATTTGAAATAATAGCATTCATGTTTCACCAAGAAAGCCCCGGATACTGTTTAGCAGTGCTTTAAACCAGAGATTCTCAACTGTGGCTGCATATTAAAATTGCTCAAAAAACTTTTAAAAATAAGCTGTGCCCTGGCTCCACCCCAGAACAATTGCATTCAAGTATGTGGGAGGTGGGGCTCTAGGAATCTTTTTTTCTTTTTTGAATTGGTTAAACCTCTCCAGGGAGTTTTATGCGTGGCATGATTGAGATTAGGTATATTTAATCACTGCTTCTTAACTGATCTTTGGCAAAGGACTAGTTTTTTTGTTGGTTTATTTCTAATCTGTTGTGAACTAGTACTTAAAATATAATCAAAGTGAATTATAGAAAAGTGTAATTCTTATTATTACATTCAGCAGACATAAATGTTACTCCATCATATTGATATAAACATTTCTAAATGAACCAGTAACAATCAGCTTGCGGATCAGCACTGGTCCATTACCACACTTGGGGTAGCACTGTTTTAAACCATTGTTTTGCCATGGTAAGTTGTTAGTTAATGATGTCAAAATGGCATACGAATCAACATTAACCTTAAAACTCTCTATGAGGACTGTAGGAAATTATACACTTATATTCTTATTACTGAGGAAATTAGTTTTACTCACCATTGACCTAGAGTCTCCTTTGTTTTAAGCATTCTGCAAAGTTCAGAAATGATAACTAGAAGCGATGGTCCTTTTGTAACTTTAGAGAACCAGAAATCATCAGATATGCAAGCTAAATTTAGAAAATTGTGTCTCTTTGTTAGGCTTTTTAACTGCCTATACTGATACCTTTAATTTTACATGCAATCATAATAGCTTGGATTTAAATATTGTTTTGTAATTTTCAAAATATTTTACTTTATAATTTTCTGTGTATTTTCATTTAAATTATATAATTGATCTTTTTAAACAACCTGGTGTGGTGAGTAGAGTAGAGATTATCACAATTACTTTGCAGATTGGAAAAGTCAGATATTCAACTTACATGATGGTCCCCATTTCTCTTATTTTAGTTTGAAAATAAAAATTAAAACAAATATTCTGATTCCATTCTGGTTCCATCACTACAGTGCCAAGGTATTTCCAGAAATGTAACAACTTTTAACTTTATGCAGTGATGATCAAGTGACATGATGGCTTAAATTCTCCTGTGTTTTAGACAACTTCTCTAATTTTTTAGAAGGAATTTAAGGCATAGGCAGACACATGATGGAGACTCTGCAAACATTTTTTTGCAGAAAAAAAACTAAAGCATTCTCATACAGGAGATAGTGTAAAAATAAAGGATAGGGGAAAAAAATTTTAATTCTCTCTCTCTTTTTTTTTTAACTGCAGAATTTGTTTAATATGGTTGTCGAAATACCTCGGTGGACAAATGCTAAAATGGAGGTATAGATATATTCTATTAATATCAAATGGAAATGATAATAATGATACAAAAACTTTGTTTCAAGTTGTTTGTCTTAATATTATGAATTCGAGATGGTTGACAAACTTGTTAATAATGAAAACAATTGAAAACATTCTTGTGAACTTACTTTGAATCTAATTTCAAAATGCAGAATATTATTCATAGGTGAATTTATACTTTAGAGAAAGTGTTTTTTATTTTTGCATCTAGTTTGTTACACACGTATTTAATTTTCCTTCACTCCTCTATCTTTGAAAATGACAGATATTTTCAAGGTTTACTCAGATTCCGAGATATATCTTGTTCATAGACACAACTGAAACATATTTATTTGGGGTTTATGGCAATTTTAGTTTCTAAGGGCTTAATTCTCCTTTAGATTTCACTCTACCAGGAATGCAAGTATTTCCTGGCCAACTCTTGATTTATGAGCATTGTCTAAAAGCGTCTGCTGTTCCCCTGTTTAGCTGTTCTTTATATTTTTTTAATCTTTTCCATGAGACATGGACCTATCAAGAACATCTCTTTACTTTTCAGAATTTATTGTTCCATCTGCAGTTAGGTAAGACCCCTTATAGTTCTGAGTGAAATTTAATTTATGGGACTTCGTTTGTTTAGTTATTTAAGCCCTCTCCTACAACTTTGGATATGATGGCAAGTTTTATTTCAAGTATTTAAAATAAGCATTGTTATATAGGTGTGTATTTTTCAGAATTTCCATTTGGAGAATTGTCAGTAATTTCACCGGTCTATGGCAGTTTTTTTGTGGGGGAGGGAGTAATATTTTAATAGGAAAAAATAAAGATACTAGATTCTCCTTTTGGTCTTGTTTTAGGTATAATGTTTCATCATTCTAGATACTCTCTACCTTACTCAATTAGATATAAGACCAAGAATCTGTGAGATTCTGCCTAATTTAAACAGTGTTTATTGATGCAAACATGGCTTCAGTTATTTTTTGTTTATTTTGTAGGATAGGTTTTTTTTTTCCTTTTTGCATGGCAATTTGGATATGCTTGATAGAAAGGTAACTCGGAAATGAAATCATTTGGTAAAAATCTTTGCGTTACCTTTATTATCATAAGATTAATGGTTAAAAGCCCGAGATTAGTAAAAAAAGTAAGATGGTTAATCCTTATCCTTTTGCCATTTTAGTCATTTTGTTATTTGTGTTAGAAATAATGAGTGCATAAATAATAGAGTGCCTAAATATATAATCTGATGTTTTCTTTCCAGATGGTTTTTCTTAAACAATACTGTAAATTATAAATTGTAGCTGGCTTGATTTGATTTACATTATCTTTGATCAGTAAGTTGGAATATGAATATTTAGTCTGAAAGTAGCAGATTTTACGATACTATTTGAAGTTAAGATTAATCATTTCTCATCCTCCTGCCCCCTTTTCCCCATGATCTGCTTAGATTGCCACAGAGGAGCCCTTGAATCCCATTAAACCAGACGTAAAAGATGGCAAGCTACGATATGTGGCAAATATCTTTCCTCACAAGGGTTACATATGGAATTACGGTGCCCTCCCTCAGGTAAAATTTTTATTATAATGGTAAAACTTTTCTGTCTTTTGAAAAAATTGCCTTGTAAATCCTGTGAACTACTTGATTTAAATTGGTTATAAGGACCTGTCAGTTTGAGAGATTTATGAATTGAAAATTTTTAACGTGGAATTTTATTGTATCAATAAATTTTTTTTAAAAACTATTTATGTTTACACTCAAGTTCTTGGAGTTAGGCACATAGAACACTTATATTTGGCATTTTGAACACATTTCTTTTTCTGGGCTTGGCTATTAAGAGTTAGTGAAAAATATTTTATCTGCTTTATCTGCAGTCATTTCTTTGACTGCGACAAGTAATGCTTTTATATACATTTATTTATGATAGCATGTATTTTATTTTTTAAAGTTTAACAGAGGAATCTTTTAAATTATTAACTATTTTTCAGAACTCATTGTGAATTGAAGTAGGTGACTTATTCACTAGGATGAATTTATAATTTTTCAGTGGAAAGCAGAGAAAGCAAGGGCTAAATAATGGTAACGCAGCATTCGTATTCGAGAATGACACTTACTATTTGCTTTTCCACGGTATCCCTTTTTGTTTTCTTCTTATGTTATCTCACTCCTGGGAAGTGGTACTTACTTCCAGATTGTTTAGTGAGTAAAATTCAGAATATGCAGAATCAAAAGTCCAAGTTTGGGGGACATAAAGAAGCATCTGCCTTAATGTTTATAAAAACCATTAGACCATTTATCTATCTGGATATTTATTTTTTCTATTTTTATTTTATTTATTAATTTTAACATTTTACATGAATTTTTTTAATTAAGTTTGTTGGGGTAACATTGGTTAATACAATTACATAATTTTCAGGTGTACATTATAATTTAAAACTGTATATTCTGTTGCGTATTTACCACCCAAAGTCCAGTTTCCTTCAGCTACATATATTTTATATGAAATTTTAATATGCTTTTGGGGAAATACCTGAGGATGGGGTCTTGCTTTATCTAACTCAGAAAAACAGCTGCCCATATAGAAAAAACATGCACAGAAAGGAAAAAAGAAAATTGTTTAATAAAGAGTCAGGCTGCCTTTGATGCAGTTAGACCACCCACATGGATAGGTTCTTCAAAACAGGCTCTTTTCAAATGATGTGCTAAGATTGAGAATGTCTGTTGAAACCATGAAGGCAGGTGCTCTCCAGGTGCCTACGTAGACATTCTGTTTGAACCTAGCAGTGAAAGGGTTAAAAAATGTTAAGCTTTGGGGTTACTGTCTGTAGTAGGAGATGTATGGATGAGATGAAGGCCAAAGAAATCATTGAATTAGAGAAAGACAGACAAAAACAGACATACAGAGTATGTAAGGATAAACTAAAGTTCATGTTAATTTTATTAAATATTTATTAAAGATTTATGTCTTAGGCAACACATTAGGTATTAGATATATAAAGAAAAATGAGATATAAGATTAAGGCAGCATAATAAGTGACCAAGAATGTGGGTTTTGGAGCCAAATTGCCCTCGCTAGTAAGGTAACCTTGGGCAAGTTGCTTTGTTTTTCTTTGTCTCACTTTCTTTATCTGGAAAATAGAGATGATAAAGTACCTACTTGATATGGTTTTGTTGAGGTTCAATGAGTTATTGCACTTTCATCTTAGAAGAGTGCCTAATGAGTAGTGATCACATTATTATTATTCCTGGTACTTTTATTATTATATGATCTTTTCTCTGAAGGGATTTATAGTCTCACAAGGATGATTGACAACTAAACCAGTGGTTACAGTGGAGCATAATAGGTGCTACAAACTCATCTATTAATTATAAGCTTTTGTAGTTTATCTATTTAGAGTCCTGATGAATTTTTGTACTCTTCTAGATGTGTTTGAAGTTTCAAGGTGCTTTTATCTACTGTTATATTAGTCTGTACAGTAGTTCCTATTTACTTACAACAGAGTTAGACTGAAGTAGTCTCTTAACGCACTCTGTGTTCCCTATCACCTACCAAAATTTCACACTCCATCCAGCATCTAAAATAACATTTTAAAACATAAATCTGCTAATGTTTTGCTTATGTGAGACCTTTTTAATGGTTTCTGTTGCTTAAAGGATAAAATATAACATTCTTTACGTGGCGCCTTACCCCTACGTAATCTGGCCTCTGCCAACTTCTTCAGTCTCATTTTGCAATGTTCATCCTTCCTCACTTCCATTCCACCACTGTGACTTCTTCAGTGTCTCTAATTTCCTTTGTCATTTCTGTAACGAGCTGTCAGAGAGCTGTTCATTCATTCAGCACGTAATTTTTGAGTGTCTGATGTTTGCCAGGCAGAGTTCTGGAGATAAAGTAGTGATAAAAGTGACAAAAGTTCTCTTGCATGTTTATCCTGGGCAGAGACAGAAAAAAAAAATATGTGTAATAAATCAGGTGGTGGTGTGTTGGAGAAAAATAAAGCAGAAGATGGGACTAGGGTGTGTTGGGATTGTTGTAGTTTAGGTAAGGAGAAGGCCTCAGTGAGAAAGTGTTATTTGAGTGAAGACCTAAAGGAAGTGAGGGCACAAGTAGTATGGATGTCTAGGGGAATTCAGCAAGAAACAGCAAGTGTAAAGGTCCTGGGGTGGAAGTGGGCCTGGTGTGTTTGAGGAACGGAAAGGAGGTCAGTGTGGCTAGAGTGGAAGTGAGGAAGAAGAAATAGACCTGTGTCCTCTCTGCCTTTTTTTTATACTTGTGCTTTTATTTTTATTTTTTATTGAGGTAACATTGGTTAATCACATTATTTAAGTTTCAGCTGTATAACATTATAATTGGATATCTGTACACACTATCGTGTGCTCACCACAAAAAGTCTATAGTTTCCATTCATTACTATATATTTGACCCCCTTCATCCATTTCACCCTCTCTCTACTCTTCTGCTCTTCTGGTAACTACAAAGAGATATCACCTCGCCCCTGATAGAAGGGCTGTTATCAAAATGACAAGGAATAAATGCGAGAGAGGGTGTAAAGGAAAGGGAACCCTTGTACACTGTTGGTGGGAATGTAAATCAGTATAGCCACTATGGGAAACATTAAGTGGGTTCCCCCCCAAAATATTAAGACTGTGATCCACGCATTCCTGTTTTGTTTATTTATGTCCACCCTTGTGTTCATGGCAGCATTATTTACAGTAGCCAAGATATGGAAACAACATGTCCACCCTTGTGTTCATGGCAGCATTATTTACAGTAGCCAAGATATGGAAACAACCTAAGTGTCCATTGATGGATGAATGGATAAAGTAAACGTGCTATATATACACAGTGGAATACTACTCAGTCATAAAAAATGAAATATTGCTATTTGTGACAACATCCTGAGGATGATATTATGCTAAGTGAAATATCAGATGGAAAAGGATAACAACTGTATGATTTCACTTGTGCAGAACATAATACCAAAAAGAAATAAATGAACAAACAAAACAAAAACAAACTCTGCCATTTTTAAGCAGAGATCTTTGCTGTCTTTTTCAACCCAAACTGATCTTGTAGTGTGTGTATGTGAATATGTGTGTGTGTTAGTCTTCAGTAAATGAATCCACTATAGGTTGGTAAATTAGAAGTAATTTACCAATAAAAAAAAAACAAACCTAAATTGATGATTAATGTTTATAAAATGTTGAAATTAGGCCAATTTTTATGGGAAAGGATAATTTGCTTCTTTGTCAATATTAAGACAGAATGAAATCCAGCCCTTTGTCCCATTTATGTTTGGACCTCATTTCCAACTTCCCTCATCCTCCTCCTTCTGCTCCTTCACTCCTACAGTGGCCATCTCACAATTGTTGACACTCCAGGCACGCTCTGTCTAATACCCACTGTTC